CCCCAAAACCCCAAAACCCCAAAACCCCATGCATAATCAATCTAAAAGTAAATGGAACTAAAGAAATTTATGATTGCAATTAGTTAAAATAATAGATCTTCTGAATTAACCATAAAAATTATAGAACAAATGAATTAAGATTAAGAATCTTATCATATATTATTTATTAGCTTTTTACGAGCGTTATTGACTTAGTTTAACCTATTATTCTTTCCATCTCCAAGATTGTAACTATTTTAATGTTTTAACGCCTCTTGAGAGAGATTGGAGATACCAAATTCATTAGATCCTCCTCCCTGCCTTTACTATTCATTGATATTTTACTCCGTATAGATCATACCTTGACTACCCTTATTATTCATATCTGAGAGAGATTTATTGAAATTTTCATTTGCTGAATGCTGATTTTGCCATGAAGAGTTATTATGGTTACTAATATTATGATGGTGATTGAGGTTTTATATTTCTGCAAGACTCTGGAATGCAGTATGAAACTCAGCTTGGCTCTTATCATCACAGTTTTGCGAAGCATTCGCTAGACTTCTTCTGAAATTTTCATAATGAACGACACTATCCTAAGGATTAATACTGTTTTGGAGCAAATACAGTTGATATTAGGGATCATTGCCAATCAATTTTTACTTTTAGGAAGATTATATTTATTAATTTTGATTTATTTGATTTATCTATTTTTGCAGCCCCTCATTTGATGAAAAATTTGACTAATAGTTTAGAGAAATCTCTCCATCAGGAGTTTAATTAACACCTTATTTCAATTCATCTGACCTACAAGATTAATCTTTCATTTCTTATTTTATAAGGCCAAGCAACTAGCTGTTCTTTGACTTTTTATTTCTTGCATTATCGGAACCGAATAGATCAATCTCTTGCTTGTTTAATGGAGAATAATCCTCTTTAATCTCCTCATCATAGAGTAGCTAGTTAGTATTAAGATGCTAAAACTTTTTATTAGAAACATCGCTCTTTGTGTGTACCTCTTTATTAAAATACTAGCTATTGTTGAAAGTGATATTTTATTAGAGTTCACTTGGACGAGAGCCATTCTAATTCTAGGAGCTCTTAGAGCTTTAGTGCATTATATTATTTACTGTGATGTTACTCTATTACAATAAAGAATTGTTATTAAGAATAGGAGGCTTATTTAGTCTTGGCTGCTCAAGGTATTTGTTGAAAGGAGTATAATTTAATGAATGCTTCATTATATTTCGACTTCCACCATATATGCTGCCAGGTGTTGTTGGAACGTGGAAAAAGTTATTTATCACTTGCTCCTCAGTATCGATGTGGCCTTCTACATTTGCCTCCTCATTTATATTATCAGTAGCATCAGCTTGTGCACTATTAGAGCTGTTACAAAACTAGCTCTTTCTTTAATTCTTAATTTATAAATGCTTTTGTGACAACTATTATTGATGACTTTGAGGAATAATATTTTATACTGACAAATCAAACTGATTCTAAGACTTATTACCAGAGGAATCGCTATTATTGATTTAATAGTTTGATTATTTTGAATTCATAAAGCAGCTATTGGAATTTACAGATATACTAGATGGATTAGCAGGTCTCATATTATTGATATTCTGTTAGTCTAAATCGATTTTATTAGGTGAAGATTTTTACAAATTACTAAATCCATGAAGAGCACCGCTTAATCTTTGATCGTTAACATTGCATGTTGAACTTTTCATTAATACATTGTTACTATGTGCATTAAAGTCAACTATTTTATTCTGATCTATCAACCCGCTTGCATTTTCCTCAATCTCAAGTTCTCCTAATGACTCATCATCCTCCTCATTCTTTTAATTTTCCTTTTTAACTTAACTCAATTTTTCTAAGTACTATTTTTTCTTTTTCTTTTGCTCGTCATTTTCTTCTTCTACTACTATTGGAAGCAATCCTTTGTTAATATTAGGTGACTGTCTGCCATATATTTAATTTTATTGCGGAGCAAGTAATGGCTGCTTTAACGCATTGAATGGATAATATGGTTAAGGAGGTTGATCATTATGCAATGAAGATTAAATTTGTTGATTTTCATCTGGCAATATATCTTTCATTAAGAAATCGTGAATCTGTTAAAAATGCATGGACTAACTAGTGTTAAGTTAAATACCCTTTTAATTATCGAATCTCAGAGCTTTAACTTATTCCTACTCAAGAGTATATTATCTAAAGGCTAATACTGCCTAATTTCTCATTTACTAGAAATTAGGGTCATTTGAATTAACTTGGGATCCAAAAAATTAATTTAAACTTTTTGCATCTTCATGGAAATCTTCATTAATTAGTGATAGTGCAAAGCAGTTTGGCTCAAGCCACTTCTTAAAAATCATTTCAATTTATGGATCTATCTTTCCAGGCTGTTAAAAACTACTGTTTTATTAATTTGGAGTTGATGTTTAAGTTATATCTTGTGATTTCATCATCACATTTTAAGTTACGTTCAGATTGCTATTATTTGTAGGTTGATTATTATAAGATGGGTTAAGCATAGATTTCTGACTATAATTAGAGACATTTAGTAAATTTGGCACTACCTACTTAGACTCCTCTTTAATATTTTCTGATTCAACTTCATCCTTATCTTGTTCTACTTTTTACTCCTCCACTTTAGATTATGGTCTGAATAGCTGTTAAAGCATATTTAATGTTGAATTCTAAGCTTTGGCTGGCTGTTTACTCGATTCAGGTCTTATTATTGGGGTTTAATATTGCTTCTTTTAAGTCTATATATTATTATCCTATTTACTTGTGTTATAGTTTTGATTGTTATATAAATTTTACAAGACCACGCCTCCTATGACCTTTTATTTACCAGCATTTTCATATAATTTTTTTGACCCAAAAAATTTAGGTTAAGGCAATGGAGTCTGAAATGTATTCATTTTATCTTGCTCAGCATTAACTTTCCTAATCTCATCTCTCATCCTAGTCTTGTTCCAAATAGGAGAAGTAGTAATAAGTTACAGGTTAACGCTATTCGTCAAAGAGGGTTCCCTATAATTATTAAAACTGCTATTACTCTTACTCATCTGTTAGGACTAATTCATCTACCTCTTGGAAGTTTAATTACAAGTTTTATAGATTTATACCATTTAATTTAAACCATGGATGCTCAAGTGCCTTAGCAGCAGTCAGTCTATTATTTGCATCTTTCTCAAGCATTTTTTTGACAAGATCTTTGGCTTCTGAAGTAAGATTAGTCCAGTATTGAGGAGGGAAAGGTACTAAGCACTCTTTATTTTTTAGCAATATTTCTCTGTAATTCTTTCCAGAGAATACAAATTTTCCTGTTAGTCTGTATAGATAAAAAACTAAAAGCATACAAAATGTAAAGAATGATCCCTGCGCTAAAAATATCAGCTTTAGTTCCATAGCCTAGATCATTAAGTACCTCAGGGGCTACATATCCTGGAGAGCCACACCTCATATTAAGGGGACCATCTTTCATCAATGTTGAGAGCCCAAAATCTACAATTTTTAACGAATTTATATCCTCATTTCTAAAAGATATTTTAAGGTATTTTAAAATACTTGAATAGCAGATTTTCAGGTTTTAGATCTCTATGCACAATTTGCTTTTCATGCATTGCAACTAAGGCATCTAGGATACATCTCATTATAACTGAGGCATCTTTTTCGTTATAAGATCCGTTTTTCTTAATCCTCTCAAATAGCTCTCCCCCATTAAGATACTCAAGGATCAAATGAATATTATTTTCTGATTCATAGACCTCATGAAGATGTATAATATTTTAATGGTCTAATCTTCTCAATAATGCTACTTCTTGCAGCAAAGCAAACTAATTGGTTAAAATGAGCAAATCTTACAAAGTTTCTTCTATTTTTGGATATCATCTTTTTCTCAATGGTTTTAAGGGCAAATTTCTCCTTAGTCTTAAAATTTGTAGCCTCGTAAACTTTAGCGAAATTCCCTTTCCCCAATAACTATCCTATTTCATAGTAGCTTTTCATATTTAATAAAATCCCATATTTTTTAAGAAAGTCAAACCAGTCTTAAATATCCTTTCGCTTGGAAAAGTTATCTCCTTTAGTTGCAGACAACAATAAGTAGGATTTATTTAAACTGCGAACCTATATTCCTTACTCCCTAATGTTATATCAAATAAATAGACTCTTACAAGTTGCAGGATACTGATTATGCAACTGTTTAATCTGGCCTTTAGATGGTAATCATATCCATATTGCAATTTTTGATGTTTAAAACTTTGGTAGAGTTCTCCGAATTTTCATTCTATAATAATATTGTTATCATACTTTAATATGCGCAAATTAATTTACTTGGTATTTATGTTAAAAGGGAATTTTTACTTACATCGAATCTATAGATTTTACCTTTCAGGTATATAAAATAATGCTTTTTTCCTGTCATCAATATCTAAGTATTAAGAACGATTGTCTAAGATGAATCATCTCCTAAAACTAGATTACTCTCAGGTATTTTAAGAATATGAAGCCATCCACCTCTAGTTTGAGAGTTTTTGGGATAGTTATTTGGTGAGGAAATTAAGTTTATATCTTCAAAGGATCCAAAGCCTGCCTTTTAGCTGAGCTATAAAACACATTATGGGCATTAGGCGCTCAGTTTAAGTTTCAGTTTAGACTTCTGAACTATCTTTTTGGTCCATTTGAAAGTGGGCTATTTTTTTTCATTTTAATTTTCAAAAATCCGGAGAGTATCAAAAACCGATTCGAAGCGAGGCTTGATTGGATTACCGTTTGAATCTAGCTAACTATTAAGGTTTTACGAGGAAATATCTTGTTTGAAGAGAATCCTACTATCGGTCTTTTCATTCAGTGGTACTTTTTACTCCTCTTTGATTTCCATTATCAAAGCTTTATTTTATCAATTTATTTAGTAGACTCATTTACAATTAAATCAGTAATAATTCCATCTATATTACGACTATTTTGGAATAAGGGGTTTTGGGGTTTTGGGGAGATCGGAAGAGCACACGTCTGAACT